CCATTTTTTATAAGCTTGCTCTATACCAGCAGGATCAGAGCAAAACAACAGATACCATCTCTGCAGCTGTTTTCACTCCTTTGATCTCATCAGGGCTAACCTGCTTGCAGCACATCAGTGACCTCTAACACATCAAACCTGAAATTTCAGCTGCTCATTTCACATTTCCAAGTTCTCCTTTTTCTTCCTCCTAACACATGACCCTTCTCCTATAAGCAGGGAAAGAGTCAATCTACAAGGTCAACACTGATCTCCTAAACAAATTCTGACCAGCAGTATTCTTAATACTCCCTCTAACATCCAGTGAATAACAATAACAAAAGAAGCAATTTTAATAACAGCAAACGGTGATAAACTGTATATATTAGTAGCAGTTTAAACAGAAATATGTATGCAGTCAGCACTCATATCAAAAGAAGACTGCTTCTCAATAAAGTGTCTTATTACATTACATTGTTATTATTACATGCTCATTACATTGCTTCCTTAAACCCAGGCAGAAAAAACCCAAAACTTTTCTAGCAGCTCTATTGTAATTTTCTACATATGAACCTTTGATTAGCACAAAAACAAGCAAGAATTCTGCTCTTTTAAGAAACAATCTATTTCACACTTCCTGAGCTAAAAGCAACAGTTAATATAAAAAACCAACTCTAATGGAGTCTGAGGAAGGAAGAGCTACTGCAAAGGAGCAAGAAGAAGAGATGCCACAATCAGAAATTATTTTCATAATCTTTTATTACATATACACACATATTTACATATGTTATATTTCTTGGTTTCCAACCCATATAAATGAAACTTTATAAAGGTTAGTGAAAATATTTTATTATAGTTTATGAAAACTCCACTGGAACTCTGACCATAAGCCATTCACAGGCTGTATAGTGTCACTGATCCTGAACAGATCCAATGTAGCTGCCTTCTTGTGAGAAACAAACCTACCAATGACCACAAAATAATTAAAATCAGTAATACCCCCTATGAGGAGAATAAAGACTTTTTATGAGTTGGGAAGGATTTTTGTACAAAATGTTCCCTACAAGGCCACTTTACAGTTGCTTAAAACCTTATTTAAAAAAAAAAAAGAAATCCAAGTGAAAAAAGTAATGCTAATCATCTTTCTTATTACTTCTCCTTTTTCAGCTGAAACTGTTCAACTGCCTTCAAGGATGACTAGAATGGCAAATACTATTTCTATTTTAAAAATTTACAGCTATTTTACTGAAAGGCTCCAATATCACCACCATTTTGGAAAGGCAACCACAAGCACACCTATCATCTTCAGTGAGTGATTTGTACAACTTCTGCTAAGCTCAGGCCTCAAAAATTCTTCATTTTAGATGGGAGCATGGAGTTGCTGGAGTTCACCAGCTGCACTCCCCAAGGCTCCTGTTGCAGTGAACACTCTTCAGGTGTCACCACGGGGCCAAGCAGAAGTTTGGATGCAGGCACAGCACTGTGCTGGAGGTCAGCCTGGCCCCACATGCAGGAAATGTGCTCAGAGCACTCTCTCTGTTGATGCTGCGATAAGGGAGAGGAAGGGAGAGGAAGGTGGAGGAAGCAGCATCTCTGAAACGTGTAGAGAGAAACAGAGGAGGGGGAAAGCTGAGGGCAGGGGATAGAGGAGAATTTAGAAAATTAAAAAAAAAAAAAAAAAAAAAAAGGAAGGTAAAAAAAGAAAAAGGGATTGCAACTAGTACAGAATAATCACACTCTCACATAGACTGAATTCTTTTGATTGCATTACTTCTTGGTGTAACATTCCTTTGGTGTGTACAAACCAGCTGCAGTGTTCCACAGCAGAGCACCTTTTCCAGCCAGTTATGTAAAACCAGACAGACAACAGCTGTCTGCCAGTGTAAGTAACCTAACTGGTTCAAAGGGCACAAGATTCTCTCTGAATCCAAATTCCCAGCTATGGTGGCAGCATAGCTTCATTGCAGCATTATGATACAGGACCCCCACCTCATTTAACGCACTCAAATGGCTGTGCTTTGAACATGAGTCAAGACTGCCCAGCAGAAGAAAGGATTTTCCTTCATTTACTGTAGAAGTTGAGAGGTGTGTCTCTACTGACAGAGCCACACAGCTGCTTTGTGATGATGGCAGTTAAACGCTGCTCTCTAGAATCACACTTGTAATCTTGCATTTTCTAAATTTGATAAGCAGTACATTTCAAACCAGGTTTCCCCATATCTACTTTGTTTTCTGCACCCTCAGCTTCAGGAGGACAGTCTGATGTGTGGGCACCCCATGCTTTTGCAGTTGAGACTGAGTTCCCTGACCATACACAAGTATGCTTCATAAGTAGCTTCAAAATAAAAACAGAACAAAACAAATCCAAAAGCAACAACAAACAAACAAACCCCCCCCACACACACAGGTCCCCACAAAACACCACATCTTAATTTCTCAAACACTTAAGGAGGGGGACCAAGCTTGTTTCACTGTGTTCATGACTACCTTTAAGATCTTTGCCTTATCCCTCCTTATTATGAGAACTAACACCATTATTTCGCTCCGCTCGACTCCGAGAAGTCCATTCCAAGTGCAAATTAATTAATTTGAATGTACTCTGCCTATAATGTCACAGAAGAGCTCATAAAACATCAGTTACGCAAAGTACTTCTTGTAAGGTCAGGGTGTGTGCTGTAAAAAAGCAGTGAATCTCAGTATACAGGTATGTATAACATACACCCATATATACACATGCACAGGGTTGGGCTAAAAACACTCTGCAGTGCCACACAGAAAATATAAACAGTTAATATAAGAAGGTGTACAAGTAATCTAAAAATAAAACATTAGGAATTGTAACAGTGTAGTGCACAAAGAATTCACCTATTCTCTTCTGCATCTGAGATACCTTACAAGAATGCTAACTATGTTAAAAATGTTTTTAATACAACTGCTTTCATTTGATATCTCCTAGAAAGATTTTACTTTCATACTATGCATATCTTCACCTCCTTGCACAATTTTTCTATTTGTTTGTAAACTATGAGAATCATCATTTGAAGATATGAACAACAATTAAAACATATCTACCTTCCCTCCACTCCCATTTTGCAAAGCAAAGTATGACTGAATCACGATGATTTGGGAAAGCCATCAACCAAATGAGCTTTAAAGAAGCAAGATGTGTAAGATCACTGCCCAGGAGAGGGATGGGTGAGTAAAAAGAAAAAAGATGGCCTTTACTACTAAGTTACTGCATTAAAAACCATTCTAGAGCTCTATCAATGCAAATTACTTTGTTGGTTCTTTCTTGCTTTACTTATTTTTTTGAACCATGCATGAAGGCTAATATTTGGTCTATGAAGTAAATTGAAATCAGAAAAGTCTTATTGTATCACAATACAAAGTTAGTAAGAAATAAATGCATGGGAAGAGGAGAAGAAACCAAAAATAACTCTAAAAAAAAAAATTTCCTACAACATGCCCTGCTGAGTACAGATTCTGCTCCATTCAGCAGTTACAAACCCTACCTCTCAATACAACAATATGTTTCAAATCTTATCTGTTGTGACAGAAGACAGAAGTTGAGAGCTGTGTCAGTGAGCAACATAAAATGTTGGCAAACCAACCCTAAGAGAACTCCTACAATGCCCCCAATTAACTGTGGCAGCCTGGGATGCCGGCCTAGTGTCAGCAGCGGCGGACTTCGGCCGGATCAATACGGCCGAACCAGCTGCACAGGGATGAACCCATCTCAGCCCGATAGGGAGAGCTAACTGAAAGTCGATGGCAAGAAGCTCGTGCTTAATCTGGTAACATGCAGGTAGCATCGCTCCCATAGCACCCCGCAAACTAATCTCTCAAAGAACAAAGGGACGATTTATTGCTATATTCCCAGCGTCGCTGTATTACAACAGGTGAAATTGTGTAAAATGTCTTCCTACGTAACGCATTATATTCAGTCGTTTCGGTGATGCTGCTTTTAGGTTCCCGCACAGCCCGACCGCATTTCCGCCGCCGAGAGCGAAGCGGGCAGCGGGGGGCCTGGGGACATCCAAAAGCCGCTCTTTCGGAGCACCGTTCGCTGCTGTCTGCAGACGCCGGCCGGTGTGTGCGCCAAGGTTGCCCACCGACAGCTGCCGCTTCTTTTGTTCCCGCCTGTCCGTCATTTTCCCCCGGGCACCGCGCTGGGCAGAGCGAGCCGCGGGCAGCCGCACTCCAGCGACGCCCGGGGCGCATCGCTCAGCCAGCCCGCGCCTGGCACCGCCGCTGCCGCCGCCTCGCCCGGCATAATGGGACAATTCATCCCCATCCTCCCTCCCTGCCCCCTGCACAGGTAACGGGCGCTGCCCAGCCCGGGCCGGGCATCCAGGCGCAGCCTCTTCCCGAAGTCCGCGGGTGACACCTCACGGGCAGCGGCGGCCGAGCGCCGCCCGAGTCGCTCCCCGCGCCGCGGCTCCAACGACCCCGCGCAGCGGCCCCGGCGGCCGCCCCCGCCCGGCGGGGCAGGGAGGGGCGGTGAGGGGCGGTGAGGGGCAGTGACGGGCAGTGATGGGCAGTGCATCTCCCCCGGCCGCCCGCGCCCTTCGCAGCTCTCCCCGCCGCAGCCCCTCGGAGCGCAACCTGCGCGCCCGGCGCGGAGATCTCTCTTCTCTCCGCCCGGCCCGGTGCCACCACACCCCAGACTGCCCGGGGAGGGCTGTGCCCGGCGGGAAGGCGTCGAGGCCGGGCAGACGATGCCCGGGAGGCTTCGTAACCGTGTCAGCCCTGCTCGGGAGCACCCACAGCGGCAGCCCCGAGGGAGCACCCGGCCGTCGCCCCGCCGCCGCCAACCCCGACCTCTCCGCCTGTCACATGAAAACAATTATTGCCTCGGCCGGGGGAGGGGAGGAGAAGTTAAAAGCCGTGAGGCGGAGGAGCGGAAGCCGGTGGCGGCCACCTCCCTCCCGCCGCCCCCAGCGGCACAGGCACCCACCCCACCGGCTAGCCGGGAGCCCCAGCTGGCCTCCGGCACCGCCACCTCGGCGGCCTGAACTCACCCATTTATGTCGAGCTGGGCTTCGCCTGGCAGCGACAACAGGCTGAAAGTTTGGGGCGGGTGGCCACGGCGAAGGGAGGGGGCGAGGGACCGCCCGAGCCGCCGCCGCGCGGAGCGGAGGCGCTGACAGAGCCGCTCCCTCCTCCGGCGGCCGCCGCGCTCAGCACCCGCCGCAGCCGGGCTGCATCCTGCGTCCTGCGCCGCGGCTCCCTCAGAGCGTGTGAGAAAAAGGAAATATATAGAAATCAGGAGAGAGAAAGGGGCTCAGCCTTCAGCTCCTGCAGCCAACTGGGTCCGCGCCGCCGCCGGGAAAAGCAGCCCGGGGCGAAAGCGGCCGGAGGAGGCTGTGCCGCCGAGCCGCGGGAGGGGCGGGCGGTGAGCGCGGCGGGGCGCGGGGCGGGAGCGGCTCGGGCTCCCAAGCGCGGGCAGCGACCACCGCGGCTGCCGCTGCTGCTGCCGGGGCGAGCGGCGGCTCCGGCTCCGCGCTGCGGGAAGTGTCGCGAGACTGCGCCAGAGCCGCTGCGCCGCCTCGGGCCGGCGGGAGAGGAGGGCGGGGAGGGCGGCAGGAAGCGGAGCCGCGCCGCGGTCCCGGCGGGGGCAGGGTCGGCGGAGAGCGGAGCCTCGGCGGCGAGCGGGGTGGCTCTCCCTCCCTCTCGGGGCAGGACTCTTCGGGCACTGGGAGGGGACGGGGCGCGTCCTCGCTGGGCGCCGGGGGAGGATGGAGAGCGCTCCCGGGCGGCGGGACACGCACCCAGCCGCGCGTTCCTGCCCCGCACCTGCCCCGTCCGCGCCCGGCCCCAGGCAGCCCTGCCCCGGGGCTCTGCCCTGCCCTGCCCTGCCCCGGGGCTCTGCCCTGCCCTGCCCTGCCCCGGGGCTCTGCTTTCTGAGCCACCGGGAAATGCACCGGCAGCGCCGCAGCTGTCCCTCGTCTCTGCCCGGCCCACCTTCCCCGCACACACCGCCACAGGTCTGGGGTCAGGAGCAGGGAAAGAAGGAAGAAAAGACAAAAAGGGAAGATGAAGAGTGCCTTTGGGGTAATGTTTATGATTAACTAAAAAGAGCAGCGTCGCACAGGAGCACGGGTTGTTGGCACTGCAGGAAGATGTGAAACCCCTGCTACAGTACCAGTGTGCACATCAGTAACATGTCTGGACAGAAAGGCATGGTAGGAGGGTGGGGAGCCCTCTGCACAGGCACGTCTTTCCACAGGTAAAGACCCTTGGGAGAAAACCTACAAGAGCAGCAGAGGGAAAGCGCAGATTTAAAAAAAAAAAAAAAAAAAAGTATAGGTAACATTTTACAGCACGAGCACCTTGACTATTAATGAAAGAGTAAGCAAAACCAGCTTCTTATAACCTCAGGTAGTTAATTTGTATGTGAAAACAGAAAACTGCCACTCACAAAATATAACATTTCTGTACTTTTCCACTCCCTGCACAAGAAATTTTGAAAATAGCTTTTTTTTTTACCTTGAAAATTACACCAACATTAATAACTACTGAATCAAATCACTGAATTATTTATCAGTAAAAATTTCGTGAAAACATTTATTGTCTGTAGAAACAAAATTTACATTTATTTTATATAAACTATGTTAAACATACATATAAACATACCTACATCTTACTATATATCCTTATGAACGAGGCTTTTAGATATGGGGTAACATTGTCAAAAGCACCGTTGTGGACTCAAAGACTACAGACTTAAAATGCATTTGCATTTAACTCCAGCTTCAGTAGTTTAAAAATGTCATTTCTTATCCACACTTACAAATAATTACATTAAAGGCTTCTCTAACAGTGTGTTCTCATGTGCACATACATGTACACATACACACATTAGATAGTCCTTGAGAAACTACAGTATAAATAACATCAACAATCTATTCCTTAGAAGTGGACATTAGTGCCCCTCATTCAACTGGGAGTAAAAAATTCCTGCTATTCTTAAAACAATGAGGCTTTTTTTTATTCCTTGAAGAACACACTCAAACAACAACTGTTTCCACTGCCTCTTCCCCTCAATACTAAAGATGTAAGAAGCCAGTCACAAAATGAAAGCCATCTACTACATTATTTACAGAAAATGAAATATTAAAACACAACATGAGGCTTAGACTACTTAGACAAAATTCAGAGCAATGAACAGAATAAAACTGCATTAAAAGTGGCAGGGTATTAAACCATGTGGCTAAATACCTACTCAAAATCTCTCCCAAAAAAAACACCAGGCATAGAAGGAAGGGGCAGGTGTTATGACAAGAGTTTTCTTTGATCTTGACACTGAAAAATAATGGTCACAAAGCTCAAAACCAAACACATTTAAATGTCCATCCTTATAGTCTATTAGGGAGTCAAGTGTCACAAGGAGGCTTTCAAAGATCTTGAAATGGCTTTTATTCTTTCTTTCCTTCGTAAGGAGGCTGAAGAACTTCTTATCTTCAAATTCTGCAGCAATGGAATGAAGTCTGTCAAGGGTCAATGTTATGTGCAGAAACATCTTTTTTTCAGATTCATTAGGGTACAAGTCTGAAGTCTGTCTTTTAGAGGGCTCTCCCATAAAGAACTTTGTAGATTGCTGTTCAGATGCTTAAAGAAAGGCAAGAGGTGGCTTTCAATGCGAAAGTGAAGAAATCCCTCTATTTACAGTCTTCTAAGGTGAATACTGAGAAATCAGTCTCTCTTTGTTACGATCTTTTATGATCTTCTCCAAGCGACTCTCATTATCCATTTCACAGACAAGGCAGAAAATGACCTTCTGATGCATAACGAGCAAGTTTTGAGAACTCTGCTTTTAATGCCACAAAAGCCTAATCTTGGGGTTTGATTCTGTTTTTAAAGCAACTAAGTTCATTTAAAGAAAACTTAACATTTCAGCCTGGGGCCCTAGGGAAGATGGGAGCAGGTGAACATTACGCAGCAGGTGATTATCAGCTGGATTTACTCCTATCCTCTGCTATCAGTTACCTGAGTTGAGACAGTTACATTCATGTCTCAAGACCATCTAAATCCATCAGGTAAAATGATTTCAAACATGCAATTATTAGAGTTAAGGCAGGCTTATACAAACCTTGCAATGTGTTGCTTCTTACTAGCCTCAGAATTTTAACCTTGTGAACTCAATCATTACAAATTTAAAATAAGTATTCTAATCAATTTATGCAGAAATTAAATGGATCAGCAATATAAATGCTAACATCATAACAACTTAGTATTTCAGACACTTAAAAGGAAGACTAGTCATATTAAACCCATTGCATTTTGGATAGCAATTAAAAATAAAATTTCACATGAGAACAACTGAAAATGACAGCATTTAACATTTCAAGCTAAACAAAACAAAGGCAATTCACATTTGTATTTTCAAAGTATAAAACAGAAAACTAGAAAGTTCTTAAGACAATCACATTTTTAACTTGCCCTTCCAATGCAAACAGTGACAAATTTACTCATGAAAGTCACTGTTTTCCTACAGAGGCTTACACACCTATTTAAAGTAAACAGTTATTTTAACAAGAACTGTTATCAGTCCATGCTTCCACTAAAAAGAATGCAAAGTACTTAAGTCTTTGTACATGTGTTTTCTACAATGCAGTCACAATACCGAAAGGCACCAGGTTATTCAAGTAAATTGACCTTTCTTCTACTTAACCCTTTTTCTTGTGCCTTCACAACTCAAACAGTAACTTCAATACATTGCCCTCAACCAAACATTGTATGCCAGTACAACAGAATTTTCTGTGCTAAAACAATAAACAAGCTGAATTGGGTATGAGTATATACACACAAGTCTCTGTAATTCACAAAGATAAATCTACACAGCAATGTCTCACATCAAATTATAGAGTAGATGCTTCTAGCACCTAAGCCATGAATTTTTATAAAATTCATTATTTCTGTATGCACTTTTTAGAATGTAAGAGGTTTTATCATGACGGAATCCAAAATTAAGTAAAATTATCAGTAAAGAATGTAATTTGAGCAAATGGGATCATACAAAAGATAAACCAGTTGAAACAGTGACTACATTTCATATGACATTCATCTTAGGACCAAAGGGTTGGGGAACCAAATCAGCAAACAAGTCAAAAAACCACAAACTTCTTTGCAATATGTTGCTCACAGCTGTAGAAATAAACACAAAGCTAAACTGTAAAGTACAAAACAAATTAGAGATATCTAATCATGCTGATATCTAATCAGATAAAATAAAGCACAAAATCAGGAGTCCCATGTTGAAACCTGGTTAAAGCAGCATTAACTGACTGAAGTCTGACTACTCCAGCATTACTTCCAAACAGTGTTAGCAAAACTACCATGTCAGAAGTTTCTTCATGTATACACTTTTCCCATTTGCTCAACAAAGAGTTCTCTTCCAGAGTTTAATAAAAACACTGCAGGAAGCTTACAGACACAGTAGTATCCTGTTGAATATGACAATATAGCCTCAGTAGTTGTCCTATATCATATATAGTTTCATTTCTCACATCTTTTACAGTGCACATGCAGAGCTGTGGGAAGGACTTGTTGGTTTCAGGACAAACCTGTCCCCCTTGGCAGGGCATGTGCAGCACTCCCCAGCAGCCTGATCAGAACTGCAGCTACTCCACATTTGCTTGGGGTTGACTCATTTAACCTGTTGTTTCAGTTCCTAATTTTTATCTCCCAGTAAATCCACACAGGATAACTGCCAGATTCATCACTGACAGCATTAAGCAAAAAACCACTTTCTTATCTGCAAAAGGTTGCCTGCCTCTATTTGTCCAGGGAGTTCCTTCCCTTCCATTTCCCATTTTGTCTATGCATGTCAGGGTTACTGAAAAACTAGTTAAATTACTGATTGTTATTTAAACTGAAAACTTCAGTGTTTTAGAAACAAACCATCTGTTATTGAATGACGGTGACATCAATGAATGTTGCACGCTTCCTGCCTTATTCTCTATGAACATTAAGCAGAACACTCATGAACTGAGGAGCTCAAGTCACAGTAATTTTAGCTGTTCTGAACCATAACTACATTTTCAAACAGTCTCTCTACTGAAGGCATTGTGGAAAAAAACATTACAAAAAAG